TTGAGATGGAGTTTCGCTCTTGTTACCCAGACTGGAGTGCAATGGCACAATCTCGGCTCACTGCAACCTCCGCCTCCCAAGTTCAAGCGATTCTTCTGCCTCAGCCTCCTAAGTAACTGGAATTACAGGCACCCGCCACCACACCCAGCTAATTTTTGTATTTTTAGTAGAGACAGGGTTTCATCATGTTGGCCAGGAAGGTCTCTATCTCTTGACCTCATGATCCACCCACCTCGGCCTCCCAAAGCGCTGGGATTACAGGCGTGATCTGTGCCTGGCCAGGTTCTTTCTTTTCATTAATTCCATTATAAAACCAAAGACAGAACCCGGCCTGGTGCAGTGGCTCACACCTGTAATTCCAGCACTTCGAGAGGCTGAGGCGGGCAGATCACTTAAGGTCAGGAGTTCGAGACCAGCCTGGCCAACACGGTGAAACCCCGTCTCTACTAAAAATACAAAAATTAGCTGAATGTGGTGGTGGGCGCCTGTAGTCCCAGCTACTCAGGAAGCTGAGGAGAGGAGAATTGCTCGAACTGGGGAGGCAGAGGTTACAGTGAGCCAAGATCCTGTCACTGCACTCCAGCCTGGGCGACAGAGTGAGACTCCATCTAAAAAAAAAAAAAAAAAAAAGGACAAAGGTAGAGCCCCTCTCTGTCTTTTCCCTTGGGGGAAATAATTCTAACCCCATAACATACTGAAATTCATAGCCACTCAACTACTGTTTATTGACCTGTCAGCTAGACCTCAGGCACTATTCTAGGCATTCATGGTACCACATGGTATAACACAATCCCTAATCTCAGGAAACTTCCTGGTAGATCTGCATCTAAGAGCACGGCAAGCAAAGAAAACACAAAAAAACCTTGTAGATTTCACACACATCTACCTATAAATAAAGCATGCCAAGTTATCTGCCTGCTGGGTGGTGTCCATGCCGAGGTCCCCCTCCATCAGCATGGTTATTCCAGAGCTGGCTACAGTCCCCAGAAAGCCTCAGAGCTTCCTTTAGGAACACCCTGCCCCCCATAGACCTACCAGTAAACTCAAATTTCTCTACATATTGCACTCCCCAAAAGATAGCCACCAGCCACAGGTGGCTACCCACCTGAATTTAAATTGATGCAATTAAAAATTCTGTTCCGTTCGTAACCAGCCTGACCCACGTGGCGAAACCCCATCTCTACTGAAAAAATACAAAAACATTAGCTGGGCATGGTGGCAGGTGTGTGTAATCCCAGCTACTCAGGAGGCTGAGGCAGAAGAATCACTAGAACCCCGGAGGCGGAGGTTGTAGTGAGTCAAGATGGCATCTAGCCTGGGGGACAGGGCAAGACTCTGTCTCAAAAAAAAAAACAAAACAAACAAACAAAAGAAAGCCCTTACCCCTTCAACAGTGTCTGAACTGAGAACGTGTGACCATTCTGTCTCTAAGATGGTGGGGATTTGGATGTCCTTGCCTCTGCTAGACTGTGACCCCTTAAGGCAGGGGCCAAATTTTCCACATATCAGTTTCCCTCCTGGTGCTATGCTTCTTGGCAGTGTCCAGTGAAGTCTTGTTAAATTCATGGGCTTGGCTGTGCTAGGCCAGGAGGCTCCTCTTTCAACTCGGGGTGTCGGCTCAGATGTCCTTAAAGGGCTCCCCATCCTAGTACAGTCACTCTCCAGTGTCCTGCAGTTTCTGAGTCAAGCTGGTGTGACCACAGCCTTCTCTTCACAGGCCTACCCCTACCACCACTCCCACCTACTCCTTTGGCAGTCACGCTCTGCACCTGAGACTCACCTACTCACTCATGAGCAGGGGGCAGCCAGGCATCCTGCTCACCAGTCGTCTGGCCAAGGCAGCCACTTAGAAACAATATGCAACTGGCCAGGCATAGTGGCTCATGCCTGTAATCTCTACACTTTGGGAGGCCGAGACGGGCAGATCACCTAAGGTCAGGAGTTCGAGACCAGCCTGGCCAACATGCTGAAACCTCATCTCTACTAAAAATACAAAAATTAGCTGGGCATGGTGGTGCACACCTGTAGTCCCAGCTACTCGGGAGGCTAAGGCAGGAGAATCGCTTGAACTAAGGAGGCAGAGGTTGCAGTTAGCAGAGAGTGTGTCACCGCACTCCAGCAGCCTGGGTGACGGAGTGAGACTCCACCTCCAAAAAAAAAAGAAAAAAAAAAGAAACAATATGCAATTGGTTTACGGTGGGTAAGAAAGAGTACACACGGGCCAGGCACAGTGGCTCACGCCTGTAATCCCAGCACTTTGGGAGGCCAAGGCGGGCAGATCACCTGCGGTCAGGAATTCAAGACCAGCCTGGCCAACATGGTGAAACCCCATCTCTACTAAAAATACAAAAATTAGCCAGGCGTGGTGGTGTAGGCCTGTAATCCCAGCAACTCAGGAGGCTGAGGTGGGAGAATCACTTGAACCTAGGAGGCGGAGGTTGCAGTGAGCTGAGATCGCGCCATTGCACTCCAGCCTGGGTGACAGAGTGAGACTGTCTCAAAAAA